GAGGAGGTATTCTTCGTGCCACTTCTTGGAATTTTGATGACGTCAAATTCCAGAAATTCCCGGGGGAGATTTTTGAAATTCCACCTACCAATTTTGAAAATTTGTATCAGGAGAACATAAGTTGCGAGGAGGTATTCTTAGTGCCACTTCTTGGAATTTTGATGACGTCAAATTCCGAGAATTCCCGTGGCGCGATTTTTGAAATTCCACCGCACGATTTTGAAAATTTGTATCAGGAGAACATAAGTTGTGAAGAGGTATCTATCATGCTACTTCTTGGAATTTTGGTGACGTCAAATTCCAGGAATTCTCATGTTCTCTTGATACAAATTCTCTCTTTTGAATATGTAAATTTTTATTGTGTTGGGTTTGTTAGGTAACAATAAATACACAATGAATGTTGGTAAATTGTTCTTTATTTTCACCACTTTTCATACAGTATCCGTTAAAAAGTATCCCTTAATAAGGGTTTTACTATCACAGATGATACTATACTATCATTGTAAGGGTACACAATATTTTTCTGCCTTTTTTTCGAGAATGCGCAGAATTCTTCATGATCGACGGCTTGATAATAGAACTCTTCTTGACCGATAACTCTGATGATCACCTTATTATAATATGATGCTCTGCCATCTTGCGGTGAAAAGCAGGAACTAATGAAAGTCCAGTTGCCGACACGTATAGTTCACCCTGTTCGCTGCAGAGATGGCGTTAGTATAATAATATTTCAATTGTATGAAATTATTATCAATTTTTTGGGATTAATATGCAATAATTAAATTCTTGAATTTTTAAATTTCTGCTGTTATTAATTTTTACGTTCCTGAATTCCTAAATTTCCCAAATTCGTAATTTCTCAAATACCTAATTTCTCAAATTCCACATTCCCAAATTCCAAATTCTCCAAATTCCAAATCCCGCAAATTCCAAATTCCTCAAGTTCTAAGTTCCCCAAATTCCAAATTCCCCAAATTTCAAATCCCTCTAATTCCAAATTCCCCAAGTTGCAAGTTCCCCAAATTCCAAGTTCCCCAAATTCCAAGTTCCTCAATTCTCTCAAATTCTTAATTTATCGAATTTCTAATTTTCTGAATACTTAATTTCCCGAATTCCTAATTTCCCAAATTCCTAATTTCCAAATTCTTAATTTCCCGAATCCCTAATTTCCCAAATCCCCAAGTCCCCAAGTCCCTAAATCCCCAAATCCCAAAATTTTCAAACCCTAAAATTCCCAAATCCCAAAATTACCAAATCCCAAAATTCCCAAATCGCCAAATCCTCAAATCCCCAAAATCCTAAATTTTCAAACTCCTAACAAGCCTCCCAAAATCGCACACTTCCAGAGATTTTATATTTTCATACAAACCGCCATCTGCACAAGCTTCTCCCTCGATAGAGGGCACCGCAAATCGAAAAAGATGGTAGGGGAAAAAAAGTGGCGCGTTACTATCTCACGATGAAATCTCATTCTACTTGTCTAACCATTCAACCGACTTTTCTACTTCGCCACTTGTGCGGTCGTTTACGTGCGATTAATAACTGGATTTTTCCTACTAGCGCCAGCTACTCGCGCGAGTATTCAACCATTGCAAAACCACTTCTAAAAGTTGGTAAGTTCATAGTCCTTTTTGTTATATATTTACATTATTTCGGTGCGAATTTCTCGATGCCTTCTTGCCCTTCGCTTTCTCCCTTTCCTTTTTGCGGTGCGTGAAAGACAGGAACATCCCTAACGGCCTTTGCTGACCTTCAAAGCCGGCTTTGATTTTTATGTTGGAACTCGCAAACGTTTGTGTAAAAATGCGGGAGAAAACGGAATGTTAATAAATGTAAATATTGCAAGGAATTGATGCGTGGAGTAACAGCTTAAACTTTCATCTTTTATGTTGGAAATTCTAATTTTAATATGGTTTAGAAATTTAAGAATAAATTGTTGGCGTGACATTTAATATATCACTGTTTTTTTAGTGGGTAAACTTGAGACGTTTAATTAAATGTATGAAATAATTTTTAATGTAAAATGATTGATGAAAGTGACAGTTATGTTTATAATTTATTTTTTCTAGAAATGGAAGACGTATGGAGTGGAAGTGTTAGCTTATGGTTAGGTCATGTTATATGTGACTCAAAGTGTTAGCTCATGTTATATGTGACTGAAGGTGTTAGCTCATGTTATATGTCACTCAAAATGTTAGCTCATGTTACGTGTGACTTAAAGTGTTAGTTTATGTTATATGTGACTCAAAGTGTTAGCTCATGTTATATGTGACTCAAAGTATTAGCTCATGTTATATGCGACTGAAAGTATTAATCTATGTTATATGTGACTTAAAGTGTGAACTAATATGTGACATATATTAAAATATTAATTTATACATGACTCAAGATATAAACCTATATGACTGAAAGTACTAACATTAAAACTACCAAATATGTAAAATAAAATATTCACAAGTCTCTTATATCAAATCACAAAAATTGTAAAGATATTTTTATTCAATCCTATGTTAATTTTTATTACAAAAATTATTGTATATATTAATTTATATTTCATCGTATATTTATGTATTTATCTACTTTATTTTTGACGTTGAATTAAGTGTGCACCGGTATGGTCAGTTACATATTGCAGTTAAGGTGTTAATATAGGATATTTACATGAATCATCTGGGTATTCAGGACCTGCAAAATACCCGAGTAGATCAAAGTTCCCCTACTTCCACTGAAATACCGGAATTAGCTCATACGTTTCACAGGAAAATACAGGAACAAAAGACGAATTTGCGTTAAATTATTAGTCACGAGTGGGATGCCCTTTTGCAGCCTACTTGTGGATTCATGGTCATCTACACTCTGCTGCAAAATTATAATACATCTGTCATTTTGATAAATTTTATTATGTGCACTGAATGTAAATTACGTTATAAATAAGTAATATTAAATATTTGAATACAATATCAAGTAAATTTAAATACTTGAATATAATATTAAATAAATGTAAATATTCGAATACAATATTAAATAAATGTAAATATTCGAATACGATATTAAATAAATTTAATTATTTTAATGTAATATTGAATAAATTTAAATATTTGAATATAAATATTGAATATTGAATTTATTTTTTTCATTAAAAAATAAGAAAATGTGGTAGCACATGTATAATATTAATAAGTCAATAAAAATTAGTTCACAAAGATATATTTTTAGATATGTGTGTAAAACACAAAATTAAAAATTCAAAACTTACTCATACATTGAAAAATATATTTTTGTAAACGAGCTATTATATTATGTTCATAATATTTTATTTTTAGATAAAAACAGGTTTACAAGAATGAGGAAAAAACTAATAACAAGATGTTCATTAAAACAGTAATACATTCTTCGAATAAATTTTACTGATACGTACAAAAATATATTTTTATAATCAAATTTTTATTTACTTTTAATTTACTTGCTAAGTAAATAAATTTAATTTACTTGCTTAATTTACTTGTAAATTTTTATTTACTTGCTAATTATATAGATATACTATCACTTTATCTTTTATACACTCGCTTCTTCAATATTAAATACTGAAAGTTTACACTGAAATATAGAATCGTTCTTTCTATACTGATTTTGATAATTATTTAATACCACATCGATCTAACGATGGCCATCTAACTTAAATGCAACTTTTTATCTCATAGTGTTGCATTATCTGGCGTTTGCATAACCTGACGTCTACGCATCCTTCAACAGTTTATAATTTTAGATCCGGAGATCCGGCAAACCTTGACAGTGCGGAATAAAAAGTTGTATATGTACATGTACCATCGAATACTAGTCCGAAACCGTGTTCATCCTCGAAACTGCATACTCGCGGAAAAGTTAATATTAGAACGATCAATTCTCATGGGAGAACTCGTACGGCAACGCAGAAATGATTATTGCAGTAAAAATAACATGAACGATTCTGTTATCGAACGTACGGGAATGTAATTGCTTAAAGATACATTTGTTATTAATATATATAAATTTTTTTTTTGTGTGAGATATTGATTATCGTAAGCTTTTAAGCTAATGAGTGTGTGATATTGAATCACGAAAGATTGTTGATGAATTATTATGAATGGAAATTAGTAACAGTTTGGTATTTGCTTTATTAATCCTTTTTGCTTTATTAATATTTATGTAACATTTTGTAATTGTATAAAGGAAAATTAATCTTATTATTATAAATAAATGAATAATAATTATTAATGAGAATCAATAACAATTTATTCCAATATTTGCTTTATTAACATTTACACATCATTTTCTAAATATTACAGAAAAATTATTTTACTGATGATTGCACACTCCTTGTTAATTTCAGCAAATTGTCATTTAGATTATAATGAAGACTCATCTATTATTTTTATGTAACTGATGGCTTTAGAGATACATACCTATTTAGTAACTTATCTCGATAAAATTTGTAATTAAACTTGTTAACGAGCGCTTTAATAAAACACCGCACTTAAACAATCTTTGATCAACGTTTTAAGTAGATAAAGTGCTTCTAATATTAATGTTAAAATTTGATTTCATAGAACTGCACGTAGTCAATGATAAGTAAATAATATTGAAGAGATGAAGACTTAAGAAATAAGTATTGTTTTTCCTTGTATAATCATATTTTCCTTGTATAATCCAGTTTTGCCCCGGAGTGTACGCAACGGAGAAACATAAATGAGTAGCAAGAATTTGCGATGATGTAAATGTACGCACGCAGACATTGTAGGCTACCTCAAGGAAAATGATAGCATGATAGCCATTCATTAAAAAGTGATTAGTAAATTTACAAATTGAGCAAGTTAGATAATTTCATATTCTGGTATTTGGGGCTTAGGAAATTGAGGAATTAGGGAGGAGGGAATGTAGGGACTTAGAGAACGTGGGGTTTGGGGAAATTGGGAAGTTGTGAATTAGGAAATTAGAGAATTGAGGAGTAAAGATTGCAGGGACTTGAAAAGTTGGGGCTTAGAGAATTTGGGGATTTAGGAAATTTGGGGATTAGAGAATTTGGGATTTAGGAGATTTAGGGATTAGAGAATTTGGGGTTTAGAGAATTTGGGATTTAGGAGATTTGGGGATTAGAGAATTTGGGGTTTAGGAGATTTGGGGATTAGAGAATTTGGGGTTTAGAGAATTTGGAATTTAGGAAATTTGGGGCTTAAAGAATTTGGGATTTGGGAAAATTGGGGCTTAAAGAATTTGGGGTTTAGAGAATTTGGGATTTTGGAAATTTGGGGATTAGAGAATTTGGGGTTTAGAGAATTTGGGAATTAGAGAATTTGGGGATTAGAGAATTTGGGGCTTAGAGAATTTGGGGATTAGAGAATTTGGGGTTTAGAGAATTTGGGATTTTGGAAATTTGGGGTTTAGAGAATTTGGGATTTAGGAAATTTGGGAATTAAAAAATTTGGGGCTTAGAGAATTTGGGATTTAGGAAATTTGGGAATTAGAGAATTTGAGATCTACGAAATTTGGGATTTAAGGGAATTTGAGATTTAGATAAACAGTGAATTAGGGAAATAGGGAATTAGGAAATTTGGGATTTAGTGAAATAGGGAATTAGGAAATTAGGTAATTATGAATTTGGGAATTTAGAGATCTAGAAATTTGGAAAATTCAGAACTTTGAGAAATTACAATCGTAAAAAATTAGAAAATTAGGGACTGAAAAATTAAAAAATACTAAAATATTTGAGGATTCAACATTTGAAAATTAAACAATTTCACATTCATCGTATCGGAAACTAGAGACGTTATGTAATACAGCTCTGATAGTTGTATCATAAATAACGCAAAGCGTGAACAATCATTACCATAATGTAATCGAGTACTATAATTATTGTTAGAATCATCAATTCATTTAAATTCTTCGGAAGATCCTTTACGTGATCATGATTCCAAATGGATAAATCTTGTGGCGTCTTAAATGATACAGTACCATAACTTCGTAAACATTTTACAATACAATGTTATGTAAAAAAACATTACAATCGTATGTACAGAATTACAATGTCGCATAAATGGTATATTAAATTCTTGCGTTAATAAAATTTCTTTATGTTATTATCCTCTGAAATATGTACGTAAAATTTTATTTCTTTGAATGCAACCGTGTATATTTATTATCATATAATTTCACAATGTTTTTCACGACAAATTTATATTCTTTATTAATAACTTTTACTACATACATTTTGATTTATATTTATTTTGAAGAGACAGAAAATGATAGATACTAATTTACAGGAAAAAAGTCGAACAGGAAATACCACGGATCCACTGATAAAACAGCGTGAACCTATGGCAACCGTATCCTTATTTTATTTTTATTATAATATTACTTTTATGTTTATTCACAATTTTTTAGAAATTTAAAAATTTATAATAGTAAATATTGCAAGATGAGGAATAATAGATTATGTCACGAAACGCGAAAACTCATTTTACCTTCATTAAGACAAATTACCCTTGATGGACATGATCATTAACTGACCTAATTGATTACGTGTGGCCAACACTCTAGACACTTAACTCGTATATCGAATTATTGTCTAACTCTTCTGTTTTGAGATAAACAGACATTTTTTACTTGTTACAGTATATCTGTGGTTTTGTTACAAAAACATCTTCTTTCATCTTTAATAATTTTTATGATTCCATACATTCCATTGTATAACATAATCATATAATATGATATAATATAAGTACAATCATATTGCCATGTACCAATATCATCAAATACAATTTTACATACTATAAAACATAATACTTTCAATCACAAATTTAACATGTAAACGATACGTAATAATTTAACATGTAATATATGTATGATACAATATATTTTACTTACCTGTCCGCATATAGTGATACATGTATTAATACATCTGCAACACATCAGCAGCAATGTCTATCGCATTATCGGACGATCAGAAAATTAATGACATCAAGGAGCAGTTGGTACCTAATAATTCTGAACGCGACGATGCATTAGAAACATGTAATTCCAATGAAACAGATGATAGCGAAAATTGCATACATGTCGAAAATAAAGAAGATCCCAATATCATAGGTGAGCTTGATGCCAATATCATATGTTTCCTTCCTAATTTGAACCTCATTAATATTTACATTAACACGTTTATGTATCTTTATACAAATTTTTATGCACTTCTTAAATGTAGAAATGTGAGAATTTTTAATTTCTTTTGCAAATTTTTAATATTTGAAAATGAAGAACTTTCAAATCTTTTGAATTCTTAAATTAAGAAATGCAAGAATTTTTAATTTTCTATAAACTTCATGTTTAAAATATTTAAATTATAATTTTATTTTATAATATTCGAAAATACGATAATTTTTAACATTTGAAAATGGTAAAACTTTCAAACCTTTCAGTTTCTTAAATTTGAAAATGCGATAATTTTTCATTTGAAACAATTGAAAAGACGATAATTTTTATATTTAAATATACAATCTGTTAGATTATATTGGAGCAATACCTTTCGCCATCATACACGATCTACCAAACAAGACAAACGATGATCGCTACAATGTCTTCATCCCCGGAGAAGATATCCGCGCAAGAATCACAGATATCGAACGTAACGTAACAACTCACCCCATGTACCCAAATTTATACATCATAGAACTTACGCATGGACCATTCACTTGGACGATCAAGAAACGTTATAAAGATATTCAATACTTGCATAATCAACTGCAGTTATACAGAGCTACCTTAGACATACCTTTCCCGACAAAGCTTCACACAGAAAGGAGAAAAAATTTGAGAAATTTACAGGATGGAAAAGAAAATGGGTGTCGGAAAGGTGCATTGCCGTGGTATGAGAAAATTATTTCATAAAAAGTCAAATTTGAAAAAAAAAACAGTATATCTCACGAATTTTGTTCATTTGAATATCTTAGTTATTTTAAATAATACTAGGAAATATTATTAGTTATTTACAATTGAAAGTATTTGCATTAAAAATTTTATTTACATTATTTATTACTACCACATTGTGTAGTGTCCTAAACCCTACAACTTTTACAAGTTTCTCATATTGTTTGAAAATAAGATATTTAAAAGGACAATAAACAAATTGTCGTACATTTTTAGTTTTCCCAACAAGCCAGAGTGTCTAGTATCCTACGACCAATTGGAACAAAGAAAAAAAGCGATAGAGGAATATTTAAATAATTTATTGACAATACAAATTTACTTGCGTCGTCCCGAAACTGTAAGTCATTCAAATAGTATTAACACACTGTACATATATTTAATATACTAATTTCTATAAAATGTTTCTAGATTAATTTTCTAGCAGTCTCGCACTTATCCTTCATAGCAGAGTTAGGTGTGAAGGGTAAAGAAGGAATCGTTTTAAAACGAGCCGCCATAGGCGAAAGAATTCAGTATCGTTTCTTTGGACTTTTTCATAGAATGTTCTGGATGCAATTTTATCAATTTTGCACAAATTTGTTCGGAAAATGGCATTCGCGACACCTTGTCGTGAAAGACACCTTCGTTGCTTATCTCAAGCCTAAAGAAGGTGTCATAAAGTCGGTCATTTTGATGGACAATGGATTTGGAACTAGTTTCGGGAATGAAATTGAGAGTTTCAAGAATGGCATGCTAATTGGGAATCTGAATAAACGTATAATAATCAGATGCTGGACCAAAAGGAATGCCAAGGAATGGAGAGAGTGTATACACGAAATTAGTTATAAACATGGTAAACCTTCCAAGTTTATGGAGATTTGAAAATTTGGGGATTTGAGGTTTAGGAGACTTGGGGATTTAGGGACATCAAGATTAAAAATTATCAGAGTTATATTACACATTTGAAAGATTGAAAATTATGGAATGTAGAGTTATGGAAATTTAGACATTTGAGTACTTGAAAATTTGGATATTAAAAATTTATAAATGTAGCAACTTTCAAAGTTTGGAACTCTAAAAAATTGAAAACTTGAAAACCTGTAACTTCTCTAAATTCTAAGTACCCACTTTACTTTTCAAATAAAGTACATCCACATATTCATTATTGCCATATTACCTGGTACAAAATTGCACATTATTTTATTAAAAATATAATAAGAATTTGTCAAAAATTCCAACAAAAATCTGCTAAAAAGTATCAAAGACTAAATAACAAATTGCATTACACAGGTCAAGATTTCATACAATCAAATCCACATAGTTCATTCGCACCCTACCGTTCACCCGTGCCAGCTGCCTGGTTCGTCGACGGAGCAAATTACATGTCTGCTGTTGCAGACGCCTTAGAAAATGCCAAAGAAGAAATTTTTATCGCAGACTGGTGGTTATCACCTGAAATTTACTTGAAGCGACCAGCAAATAACAGTGACTACTGGAGGCTAGATAACATTTTAGAAAGAAAGGCGGTAAGTTGCCTAATATCCAGCTCTCAACTATCAAGTCAACTATTTTTAAATTTGTTGCAATTTCCAATTTTTTCATGCTAACAGTATATTTGGTAAGGCTAGCATACCATTCATTAAAACATCTCGAAAAACCGAATACTCATTGTAATTAATTTTCTTTTCAGTTGGCAGGGATAAAGGTATTTGTAATGATCTACAAAGAAGTGGAGCTTGCACTGGGTCTAAACAGTTTCTACAGCAAGCAACGATTAATGGAGAAATGTCCGGAAAATATAAAAGTAGTGCGTCATCCTGACCACGCGAAAATAGGAATATTTTTTTGGGCACATCACGAGAAGATCGTAGTCGTGGACCAGAGTATTGCCTTCCTTGGAGGAATTGATCTGTGCTATGGTAGATGGGATACTTATGAGCACCGGTTGGTCGATTTAGGTGAGCTAAATTTTTAGATGACAAAACCTCCGCCTCTGTTAAACTCATTACATTTTTTTCGGATACAGGATCAGCGAATCACTCCGATGTCTACATTCCCTCCACGGGACGATTTATAAGTACGAGCAGCAAAAAGAACACGCAAGATACGCAAAAACATGTCTTGCTGCCATTAGCTATTACAACGAACACAGTCGTCATGGCAACGACGAAATCTATACCTGTATTGTGAGCAACTTTTTTTGAATGTTCTTTATACAACAACTTGATGAATTCTTGAATGAGCTTATTTTTCAGACCAGTAAGAAGGAAGAGGTCGATAACAGCGTTATCAGAATTGGAACCCGAAAAATTATTAACGCAATCTTCTGATGACTTGCATACTGTAAAATGTGATACTCCACATATGAAGAGAAAAAACTTGTTTGCAATGGCAAAAGATACAATGAACAAAATGAAACGCAGTATAAAATTAGGAGAAAAGCGAAGCAGCATGGTAGATAATGCAGAAGCTGGTAACGAGGATGATAAGGATAAGTGCGTACATTTCTGCAAAATATATATTTTAAGACTGACGTGTTATTTGCTGATATATTTCCAGTAACGTAACGCGAAATCTGAGCGAGACTGCAGCGACATACGAGGACAAAGATGTACATTCGGAACATCATGGAGAGCCTAAATGGTGGATCGGAAAAGACTACACGAACTTTATTGTTAAAGATTTTACGGATCTTGAGAAACCTTATCAAGATTTAATAGATAGGAATACAACTCCTAGGATGCCATGGCATGATATAGGAGTTATGGTGCAGGGAGCTTCAGCTAGGGATGTGGCTAGGCATTTTATTCAACGGTGGAATGCGATCAAAGTAAATACTTAAGTTACTTTACCTCTAACGGCTATATTAATGATAAAATGGTGATGAATGTTGATGCTGGAGCTGAATCCAACAGATATGTTGATGATAGAGTGGTGACGAATGTTGATGATGGAGCTGAATCCAACAGATATGTTGATGATAGAGTCGTGATGAATGTTGATGGAGCGAAATCCAACAGATATGTCGATTGTAGAATGGTGATGAATGTTAATAGAGCTGAATCTACAAAGAGTAGAACTGCACCTATAAAGAAATAATAGTGAAACTTAATCCTTAGGCATATAAGAGTAGAAGAATGTTATTACTTACAGGTAGAGAAGGCAAGGCTATTAACAACTTATCCGTTCCTACTTCCAAAATCGTACAGGGACCTCAAAACCGACGCACCATTCATCAATCCAGAATATATGCACAATGTCAAATGCCAGGTGCTCAGATCAGTTAGCTGTTGGTCTGCGGGTTTCTTCGACACTGAAACTTTAGAGCGGAGCATACAGGAAGCATACATAGAAGCAATCAGTAAAGCAGAAAGGTAGAATTAATATTAACACAGAACATAAATTGTCAAAATCAGAGAACTGTTCTGCAGATTACTAGAATCTGTTATTTCTCGTTTTAGATACATATACATAGAGAACCAATTTTTCATAACTCTGGCATCCATGGATCAAACTGCAGTACAGAATCGTATAGGAGAAACGTTATTGGAACGAATTTTGAGAGCACACAGGGAAGGTGCAGTGTTCAGAGTGTTCGTAATAATGCCTCTGTTGCCTGGATTTGAAGGAGAAGTCGGAGGACCAAGTGGCACCGCGTTGCGTGCGATAACTCATTGGAACTATGCTTCCATAGCTTGGTAAGAAATCTGGTTGATATACTTTGAATTAAATTTAAACCAAACCTCTTTCGATCACAAACAGGGGTAAAAGTGCTCTCCTAAATCGACTGATTGAGGCGGGAATAGATGACCCTAACGAGTACATTACCTTCCACGGTTTAAGAACTCATGCAATATTAAACGGTGCATTGGTGACCGAACTGATTTATGTTCATAGTAAGCTGTTAATTGTAGATGACAATACAGTCATTTGTGGGTCAGCTAATATCAATGACAGAAGTATGGTAGCGACGAGAGACAGTGAGATTGCGGTGATAATTCACGTGAGTTAATGTAACAGTCGTACTCGGATACAACTGGAATCACTTAATGAAATTCTCCTGTGATTACAGGATCAAGAGTTCGAAGATGGAAGAATGAACGATATACCGTTCCCTTGCGGTAAATTTGCGGGGTCCTTACGGAAACATTTATTTTCTGAACATTTGGGATTGTTCAAAACGAACGAAGACCTGGACGTAACTGATATAATTAAGAAGTCTTTCTATAGAGATGTGTGGCGTGCTAGGAGTTATAGAAACACTGAAATTTTTGAGGAAGTATTTCATTGCATTCCAACAGACGTGGTCGTTAATTTTAACATATTGAAAGCGTATCAAGCTGATGAACCACTTAGTTCATCGGATCCTCTTTTGGCTCAAGAAAAGGTCAAAGATATCAAGGTATAAATAATGACAAAATTATTAATGTTATTATGATTTAATAATATAGATATTACTATGAAAAGGTATAATTTTGTTAAACTTTACAGGGACATTTGGTGGATTTGCCATTAAAGTTTCTATGCAACGAAGATCTGAAGCCTGCTCATGGTACAGTAGAGGGAATAATGCCAACAGTGTTATGGACATAAATTATTTATAAATGAAGTTCAGTGGGATTTGCATGAATAATTTAATACTGTTGATTATTAACCAAAGTACAACAGATTGTCTGGTACTTATGACTGAGTACTTTATCATTCCAATAAATTCTTAAACAATAAGAATTGTGACTGAATAGTGAGGCATGGCATGTACAGGGGGTGCAGAATAGACTACATATCATTTTATGAAACGATGTACTGAAATATTGTGTAATGAGTAGAATAAGAAAATGAGCATATACAAGAAACGTGATGTCTTTCGAAAAAATAAACAATGTCAAAGAAAATATTTTTAAGTAAAGTTTCAACTAAAAAGCGAACCGTAGCTCGAAATCGTAACTTAAAGATTAATAAAATCTTTAGAGTACGATGTCGATTACCAGATCACACTACGTGACCATATTACCATAATAGAGTAAAGAACTTTTGCAAATTACGTATAAAAAAAACGCCATAAGAATATACATCTAGTGACATCTAGTGATACCGGTCTTAAATCGCATGTACCATTTTTTACTGTATCGATAGGTATGTTTTAATTGATCCAGGTAAATCAGATCTATTGTAGACAACAGCATGTGTGTGCAATGAGCTGTCACATTACGAATGCCGATGAAATCGCGTATGTAATCAGTCGCGACAATTTTCTATGATAATGGGATTATCTTTTATACGTATATCAAGTTCTCGTGACAGTATGTCAAATCCATTATCTTAGAATTGCTCATAAAACTAACAGTTGTAGCATTTATAACCTTAATTGCGTGACATGTGAGGTTTAAACATAAATAAACTGTATCCTTTTACAATAGTGTTCTAATTTTATTTTAAATGTGTACACTTTTTTAATACGCGTACGAACTTGTACTGTTAAGTGTAGAGTGTGGTTATTGTGTGTTTGACATAATTACTGAATTGATGAATTATGACACAAAATCATAGAATTCCTTTCTAATTCGTTAAGGTGAATTATATTTAATTGACTGTATAGTCAACATTCTAGTCTCTTAGATCATGCATCTGATTTTTGTCTGAGTCAAGAAAATACATCACCTCTTTGTCATTATACTTATCTCAGTTGTAACTGTCTACCTGTTGATTGATTTTCTTATTGTTAATAACATATGTGACTATATATATTATTTTCAATTAATAACATATTGCATATTCTTGTGAACTTTTATGTGCTTAATGTATTTCTTTTAAAGAAGTGGATATTATGAAATATTTTTCTTGACTGTATAGATTTAGTAAATATTAATGTAGTTATAAAATAGCAACAATGTCTGACAATTTATCAAATGATGAGAAACCTGATAATAATACTGTACTACATATGACTTCTCATGATTCTGAATATGACGATGCATTGGGAGTACCAGATTCTTTGGAGATCACTATTAATGAAAATGATGATACCATTAATGTTGAAAGTAAAGAAGACACTGATAATATAGGTAAGCATATGTTTATCATTTCTTTGTTTCCCAATATTTGTTATCCTCATTAACATTGTATAATATCTTGGTTGTATTAATACATTTGTGGATTGTCCTCTTTTATCTGTGTTAGAACGTCTTGGTGTAAAACCTTTTCCTGCCATACATGATGTACCAAACAAAATACAAAATCAAAGCCACAATGTGTTTGTTCCTGGAGAGGAAGTGCACGTAAAAATCATAGATATTGAACGTAGTGTAACTACTCATCCCTTAAACCCAAACTTATACACCATAGAATTTACGCATGGTCCATTTACTTGGACAGTTAAGAAACGGTATAAAGATATTCAATATTTACATAACCAATTGAAGATATACCGAGCCAGTTTAGACATACCTTTCCCAACTAAACGCCACAAAGAAAGAAGAAGCAGTTTGAAAAGTTTAGGAGATGTAAAAGAGAAAGGGACTCGTAAAGGTGCACTGCCAAGGTATGAAAGAATAAGATAATAAAAGAATAAGATACTTTATAGAATGTCAAAATTCATCAATGTGCAAAGAATAAAGTGAGACATAATTTTCAGATTTCCCAATAGGCCTGATGTTCTAGTACCTTATGAACAATTAGAACAGAGGAAGAGAGCATTAGAAGATTATTTAACCAATTTGTTGAAAATAAGAATTTATCTGCATCATCCTGAAACTGTAAGTTGTTAAAGAACATGCTATTAATAAATGATATCTACATACATTTGATATACTTTTAAACATTTCCAGATCGAATTTTTAGAAGTCTCATATTTATCCTTCATAGGAGATTTAGGTATGAAAGGTAAAGAAGGAACTGTTTTAAAGCGGACTGGATCAGGTGCGAGAAGTAGATATAATTTTTGTGGCCTTCTCCAAAGCATGTGTTGCGTCAGATGCAGTCGGTTTTGTACATCATTGTGCGCGAAATGGCACTCGCGACATCTTATTGTGAAAGATACTTTCGTTGCCTATATTAGGCCTAAAGACGGTAGCATTAAATCGGTCATTTTAATGGACAATGGTTTCGGAATTAGTTTTGGCATGTATACGACAGGTTTAAGGACTGGTATGCAAATAGTTAATCTTAGTAGGCATATAGTTATCAAATGTTGGACCAGAAGAAAAGCTAAGGAATGGATGGAGTTCATACAAGAAACTAGTAATAAAGAAGGTGAGATTTCTAATATTTGCAATTGGTGTAATTAGAATTTTTAAATAATAAATTATGTTACATAGGTCGAGATTTTACACAGAGAAATCCACATAATTCGTTTGCACCTTATCGTTCACCCGTGCCAGCTACTTGGTTTGTCGACGGGGCAAACTACATGTCCGCTGTTGCGGACGCACTAGAAAATGCCAAGGAAGAAATTTTTATCGCGGATTGGTGGCTATCACCTGAAATTTACATGAAACGACCAGCGAATAATAGTGACTATTGGAGGCTAGATAAAATTTTACAAAGAAAGGCGGTAAGTTGCCAAACATTGATCCCTATTATTTCTAGCTATCAACTATCGAGTTGACCGTTTTTAAATATATTGCAATTTCCAATTTTTTCATGCTTACGCAAAATTTAGGATACTTGGTAAGGCTAATATAATGTTTATTAAATCATGAAGTTTCTTGTGTTTAAAAGTATCGAATACTCATCTTTAATTTTTCGTTCAGGTTGAAGGGGTGAAGGTATTTATAATGATCTACAAAGAAGTGGAAGTTGCACTAGGCATAAACAGCTTCTATAGTAAGCAACGGCTAGTTGAGAAATGTCCGGAAAATATAAAAGTACTGCGTCATCCGGATCATGCGAGAGTGGGAATATTTCTTTGGGCACATCACGAGAAAATTGTGGTCGTTGATCAAAGTATTGCCTTTCTTGGTGGCATTGATCTGTGTTATGGTAGATGGGATAATAACGAACATAGGTTAATCGATTTAGGTAAGTTAAATTCAATTTAATATAATATTTATTTCTTGTTAACTTAATTGATTTCCTGGGATTGTAGGATCAACTCATCATTCTAGCATTTACATTCCGTCCAAAGGAAAATTCACAAATACTAGCAGCAAGAAGGTCTCAAAGTGCATTACTCAAAAACATGTCTTACTGCCATTAGCTATTGCAACTAACACGGTCGTAATGGCTACTACAAGATCTATACCCGTATTGTGAGCACTTTTTCGAAGATTCTCTATATATTATAGCAGTTGATGGAGTCTTGAATGAACATACTTTTTCAGACCAATGATGAGTAGTAAAAGATCCATGCCAACAACGTTATCGCTACTGCAACCTGAAGATTTAATGCTACAGCCACCCGAAGATTTTGATGCTATGAAATGTGATACTCCAAATGCGGAGCGAAAAAATTTGTTTGGCATAGCGAAAGATACCATGGACAAAGTGAAACAGAACATAAAGTTAAAAAGACAGGAATTGATTAACATGGTATACAATCCACATGAAGCTAGTAGCGATGAAGAAGATGAAAGCAGGTATGTACATTTCTTTGTAGCAGGTGTATTTTAAACTTGACGTACAAGTAAAACAGCGCTGATATATTTTTAGCGATACAGTGCAAGTTCCGATTGAAAATATTGAACCAATGATATACGCGGAAGAGGATGTATCCTCGGAGTATCAAGGAGTGGCTAAACTGTGGCTTGGAAAGGATTATACAAATTTTATTGTGAAAGACTTTAACGATCTTGAGAAACCCTATCAAGATTTAATAGATAGAAGTACGACACCTAGGATGCCATGGCATGATATTGGAGTTATGATGCAAGGACCAACTGCTAGAGACATTGCTAGGCACTTTATCCAACGATGGAATGCAATTAAAGTAAATACCATCTAATTTACAAATAATGTAACACAGAGATAAACATAGAGTGTGTGTAATTACACATGAATCATGACACAATATACTGTGTGAAGATCTTGACCTTTGCATATCATAATATGCAGTAAAGAACCATGCTATCAAATTGAATTTTGTTACACTACAATAATATATTCTGTAATGTAATTAACATTTTATGAAGATAACTCTTTCTACTTCCTATAGCTTTATCATATGTGAATAATTAATGCTATACCACTTTTATTTATAGATGGAGAAAGCCAAACTAAATGCATGCTACCCATTTCTACTTCCTAAATCGTATAGGGAATGTAAAACCAGTGCGCCATTTGTTGACCCAGAATCTGTACATAATGTTAAATGCCAAGTATTAAGATCTGTTAGCTCCTGGTCTGCGGGCTTTCTGGATTCACGAACATTAGAGCAGAGCATACAGGAAGCGTACATAGACGCAATCAGTAAAGCAGAAAGGTAGGATTAACATAAATTGTCAAAGTCAGAGAATTATGGTTTTGCAGATTACTATACCAAGAATCTGTTATTTCAATCTCCTTTTAGGTACATATACATAGAGAACCAATTTTTCATAACACTTGCATCCATGGAGCAAACTGCTGTAAAGAATCGTATCGGAGAAACTTTATTGAAACGAATTTTGAGAGCACACAGAGAAGGTGCAGTGTTCAGAGTATTTGTAATAATGCCTCTGTTGCCTGGTTTTGAAGGAGAAGTTGGAGGACCAACTGGCACCGCGTTACGCGCGATAACGCATTGGAACTATGCTTCCATATCTAGGTAATAAATCTCGTTGATACGCTTTGAATGAAATTTACTCCAAACCTCTTTCGATCACAAATAGGGGTAAAGATGCTATCCTAAATCGACTAATTGAGGCGGGAGTAGAGGACCCTAGCGAATACATTACATTCCACGGTTTAAGAGCGCATGCAATGTTAAACGGTACATTGGTGACCGAACTGATTTATGTTCATAGTAAGCTATTAATTGTAGATGACAATACAGTCATTTGTGGATCGGCTAATATCAATGACAGAAGTATGATAGCGACGAGAGACAGTGAGATTGCGGTGATAATTCACGTGAGTTAATGTAACAGTTGTACTCGGATACAACTGGAACTACTTAATGAGATTCTCATGTGATTATAGGATCAAGAGTTTGAAGATGGAAGATTGAACGATATACCGTTCCCTTGCGGTAAATTTGCGGGCTCGTTACGAAAACAATTAATTAGTGAGCATTTAGGATTGTTCAAAACAAATGAAGACATAGATGTAACGGATATAATTAAGAAATCATTCTATAGAGATGTGTGGTGTGCTAGAAGTCATAGAAACACGGAAATTTTTGAAGAAGTATTTCACTGCATTCCTACAGATAAGGTTGTTAATTTTTCCATGTTGAAGCAATATCAAGATGAAGAAGCGCTTAGTTTATCAGATCCACTCTTGGCTCAAGAAATGGTTGAAAATATTAAGGTATAAATAATTACAGGAATGTTACTGGATAATGCTATGAGAAGGTATAATAGTTGTATTGAATCTTGCAGGGTCATTTGGTGGATTTGCCATTAAAGTTTTTATGCAATGAGGATCTGAAACCTGCCGCTAGCACAGTAGAGGGCATAATGCCAACAGCATTATGGACATAAATATTTATAATTCAGATTCAGTAGCATTTTCATGAATAATTTAATGCTGTTGATGTGAAATGTTTGATTAACCAAAGTACAACAGATTGTATGGTATTTATGATCAAGTATTTTATCATGCCTCCTGAGAATTATAAATGTCTACTTACAATGAATTAAGGTTGCTAAGTTTTCTACAGTACTAGTAGTCGGAATCAGTATGCAAATTATAATGTTAGGAATGTAAATATTTTTTAATTTGACTTTTAATTAAATCTTAATCTCGGTATTATTGAAACCAGTCTTTACATTATAAACAATGTATTAAATTCAAATTTGTGCAAACATTCCAATCAAATCTACCTCTTCTGTAGAAAACAAAATGATATTGGTATTAACGTAGGAAATGTACTAATTATAGATGAATTTTTTGCTCGAATCGTTTCGGACAAATTTTTAACACTCAACCATGTTTCGCGACAGTCGATAAAGTTTTTAAAAATATCTGAATGTGCCTTTTAATAAGTTGATTTTTATGTCACAAATTCTATTTTGTATTACTATTTATTTGTATTAAGCAATGCATGAAATAAAAGAATGTGCGAAGTTGTATTACACGTTGAATTTTCAGTGTAAAAATTGCTATATTACTCTTTACTCCGATATACCAAGACGCCATTTGCTTTTATTGAATTCGAAATGTACCGCTCAAATAAATATCAAAATGTCATGAAAACTTATCTTATTTTCGAATTACTGTCCATAGAAGCATCCGCAAACTGCTTCTAGAAGATTCTTCTTTCTTAAAGCACGTAATCACTAAATTGACACAAATTACGAAAAGCTTTATGCTTGTCACAATTTTCTGACGCGCGAATCATTGCAAATTATCTAACTGGATGTGGTTACACTGTATTTCCTGTTCCCACGTTCCACACATTTATTTACACTGTATATCAATAGCACTACAAAACTTGTATAGTATATTAACAATATTATCACAAAATTTACACTATATATGAATAATAATGGTTTTGCACAGATACAAATTTAAACCACAGACCGAGAACGCGTCCTCTCCCGTCAACCATTCGCGCGTAACTAAACGAACTTGAACTTTGTATTCAAGTTCATATTCTTAATTGAAGTTACTTTGACGATTTATTACGTAAAAATGTATAAAAAATAATAGTTTATTGTAAAGTTTAATATTTGAAAGAATTTTTAAAGCTTAATATACGTTTTTTTAAATTTATATTCACACTCATACTTTATGAAAATTGTGGCGGCTAATTCAAAATCGTATAACAGCATCTAGAGTCCCAGCTTTCTTGCAAGTGATTGACAAGCGTTTCCATGTAATATAATTTGTGTCCATCCCAGTAAATTATTTTATATCTTCAATGTCATTAATGTGGTATTATTCACGTCTGTGATCTAATTAAATACTGAGACTTTGATTAGATGTCGCCACGTGGCCAAATCTCATTTATTCATGCCTCTGAGTTTCAATCCGGTAGCGGGGGTCCATATGCTGTTTTTGCTACGATCGTGTTGTCATTTCTGGCAATGTGTTGAATAAAATTTTGTATTTTTTGTTAAAAAATTAGTGTAGTATAAACTCATTTGTATAAAATATTTCTGTTAGTAATAAACATGACGTATTTAAGTTCATGGGAAGAATTTGAGAAGGGGGCTGAGAGGTTATATCTCCAAGACCCACTGAAGGTATAATTTATTTAATATCGTATCAATTATTTCAATTTTCGTTCAGTGTACAATATTATAGATTTCGTACAATTATAACCATGGTATTGTTTAAGTATATTTCATTCAATAATTAAGAAAAAACTTCGTAGGTTATGTACGATGATTGACGTTTCAATATGTCATGTCATGTAAATATTTTATTTTAATAACTTCTTCAAGTACAAAAATGATCTAGTAATACATATAGTATTTTAAATATAAGGAACAGAATTTTATGCCATTAGACAATATATAAATATTGAAAATATATTCTGTATAAAGTATTTTATTTATTTTGGTATTGAAGGTAAAGTCAATGAAATTTATAGAAATATAATGGTTTCTTTATAAATAGTTTAATAATCATAAGTTTATAATTTATGTTTTCTTGATTTAGGCTCGGTATACAATGAAATATTGCCACACTAAAGGTGTCTTATGTCTAAAGCTTACAGATAATCGAACAGTAAGTCCTGTCTTTACGTAACTTACCTTCTTAACTCTTAAGGAAGTAATTTAAATAACAGAATTGTGATTTTATTTTTCAGTGTCTACAATATAGAACAGAAATAGCGCAAGACTTAAAGAAGATGGAAAAATTTATAGGAAACCTTATGAGGCACATGGCTTCTAAAGAGAGCTAAATAAGGGACTAGATAAGATTAGGGACACTTTTTTATCAAGGATTAAAAGTGCTGCGCATTTAATTCATCGTTTATGTTGTTCCATTTCATAAGATTTTGCGACTGATGGGATTATAGATATTTAATTTGAATGAGGTATAAAAAACTTTCTTAAATATACAATATGTGCATAAATGTCTATTTTTTATTTATTTAAAGCTTCATGCTCATTTCGGGCGGTTCCGTTGTCTCCTTGTTAAAGTTCTGAAACAGTACAAAATAAAATGTATCATAGTATACACTAAAATTGACTTGATAATAAATTTTCAAAATGAACTATTACTAAAATTGATACGAAAAAACCAGTACTTTCCAGAAAATGTAATCATCTAATTCCATCGACAAGAAGAATACTTAGCAGGGTGTAATGCATTTGTTATTAATAAAGCCAGATTCGTTTGTAATTTGTAACTTATTATAAGAGAGAAGCACGAAGCAATGAAAAGAAGCACTTACGATATAATGGGCTGAAGAACAGCATCCAGAGTAGTATCAACAGGAGGGTAGATTTCTTGATTTGAAGACAATTCATAGCGTACCTCTCCCCCTAATTGCATTTGCGGCTATACCAAACAAAACTATTTTACTAATTTACTATGCAGAAAATTTTAGGATACAACACACTACATTCTAGTAACAGCATTTCATTTGAATCAACTTTGTATTTTCATAGAACAAAAAGTAATCGACAAATCTATAAACAATAAAATGCTGTGACTAGCAAAGAAAGAAGTAGCAAGCCTTAACCACATATACGTATTTGTAAATAAGCGCTTAGTATCTCTAAAAAGACTTTTCTATAATAAGTGCCATTTTAATAAAGATTTTATCTGTGATTCAAAATCATGATTATCTTTTTATTCTCTTTCAAAAGCGAAAAGCTTAAACTACATGAAGCGCAACAGCATTACTCGTTACTTTCCGGTATTATTTACTAGAGTGTTAGATATTCAACTATTAAGTTGAAGTTCGGGATTTGAGCATGTAGCTCGAGTACCCGATCAAGTGATACATATATTTTTAAATAGTTCTTTAAAATAAATGAAGATTGTATGAAAATGGAAAGTAACGAGTTTCACTCGAAATAAAAATTGTTTAAGAAATAGAAGCGTAAAAATACGTACTACACGGGTAGGTTTAGCGCTGTCGGCAGAGCTTGAGCAGCAACTTGAAAATTCCTGTGGTGTACTTTCCCCGAGCCCACTGTCCACATTATTTCCTATCAATATTCTGTTGTTACGAGTATAATAAAAGTCCTTCCTCATATTGCACTCGCTCCTACTACCGTCGTAGTACTTTGTCTCGATATAACTCGGCCTCGTCGGCGGCAAATTATAACTTCCGTCTCGACAATGTTGTATCACTCTTCTGTTTCGTTTGCCAACGGATCCGATTGTTCTGAAAGTGATTCCTTGACAGTCTTGGATATCACGGCAAATTTCAAGCACATCCCTGATCGGACAAACCATTACGACATCGATGCAAATACACGTTTTTAGTTCACCAAACGTTCAAACATTGTTAATACACACTACGAGCCATACGTATACATATATATTGCATTCCTTAGCGATATACAATTTTATTCAATAACAATACTAATAATCACGCAAACATTTTCCATTCGTCGATCAACTTTTGTGAGTTCGCCAAATGTACATGTACGCTTGGATGCCTACAGTATTTTAAGAATACCTAAAACAAAGGGAACAAGGAATTCGTACGAACTTCCGCGACAAATAAAATAAGTTTCGAACGATCGTTGATCTATGAGAAAAATTTCGACGCTCCCAGATACCTATTTTCGTTCAACGGGTACACGAGGATGCATGGCACACAAACAAAAAAATAGTACATGAAACAACGAACAAAATGCTACGGATCTTCACCTCCACGGAGTAGCCACGTGATTTCCATGGAATAGCAAAAAAGCATCAGTGGGTGCCAGCCAGGAAATAAATAAACAGGTGCGACAAGCTGTTAATCTCATCGATTTATTAAGGACCTATCATGCTTCAAATAAATAATAGGGCGCATGCTTAAGATCACGTACATGCTCTAAATAAATTAAAAAAAAAGACACACATGCAAGGGGTAGTTTTTAAACAATGACTACGGATCCTGTCTCATCCTCCAGCTGCGGAGGATGACCGTGGATGTTGCAGGCCGTCTTGAGATCATCGTACCTAGGTAGGGACGACGAGTCTGCGTCGTCCAAACGGGAATTGCTAGATTGTAGCGCACATTGTTGAGCGGCTGACTGCGATTGAACCACGGTGTATGGTATCTCTCGACGCTGTTGTTCGCTCATGCCGGTGGTGTCGATCAGCCCGAATTCTAAATGTCTGTAAAATCCATCGTTAACGTGTCAGAAACTGTGAGAGGCGTGCAAGTCGTTCTGACATCTTGAGAATTACGAAGAGGATCAATTTCGGATGAGATCTGGTGAGATTTAGTTTGTGTTTCTACGTTGATTTAGTTTTCAAATATTTGCAAACCACAAAATATTAAATTGGAAAATTCTGATTTGTTTCAGGATACCAACCAGAAGTATCTCATTCCATCTCAAAAAGTCAGGACCTGACACACCCCTAACATACACCGAGGAGGACAATAATTATAATTCCGTGGACGATACTTACTTTCTAAGCTCGTCTGGCAGTTGTTTCTGAGAAGGGCTCCTGTGTCTACTCCTGTGCCTCCTCCTGGGCTCCGTATGGCTCACCTACGTGAAAGAGACCCATGAAGAAAAAGAGAACATTTCGGAACGCTTCAGATACAATAAACACGTCTGGAATACGAGTTTGTTATTCAAACTTACGACGGCTCGTTGAACACCTTCGCCCTTCCGCTTCTGCGCTTCCCTCCATTGCGGTTCCGAGTCCACCAATTCGTGTCTGAAAAGATTCACGGCCGTGCACGTGCAGGATAATAATGTTTAACCACGGAGGGTGCGTTATTAATGTAACCGTGATAAACTAAGTTTGAATCGTTTCGCTTATACGAGCGTATTTTTCGTCGAGAAAGAACGCGGAGGTATCGCGTCGAGAGATTTCGTTAGGCCAAGTTGATATTTCCCAAGCGCATCGTCATTAAAATAATTATCACCTTTACGCGGCCTATGTACCCTACCGTGAGAGTATAATGAGTACGAGGGTTTCTTTCCCGTCCTCACGGTCGATGAACCCGCCCAAGACGTTCTAGCGAGTTGTTTCGTTTTCACATCACCGTCTAAGGGGCCTTTATTACGTCAATTAATTACCAATTAGACCAGCAAGCATGTCTTAGCCGCTTAATTGTTCCGGCGTACGATGCCGATTGTAACCAAGTCAGATTGGGTTAATCGCTTCGTTCGAATTCTTTTTATGTTCGCGTGCAACGAAACGTGTAGGGTACTCGTAGAATGAACGAGAAAACAGGGGTTTAAGGAAAATCAAATTAACGAGGGCGACTTTCGAGACACTTTCCTTTTGCACAATTATAGGAAACGCAGCAGGTATTTTGTAAAATTTTTAGATGAAGGAGAAATTCGAAGCATTTCCTATAATTATGAAAAGTTTAATCGGTGTATCAAAAGTCGATTTCCTCGTAAGTGAACTGTACCTCGACGATCGTGAACTTCTGTGCTTTCTGCGATGCTTACGATGGCCGGACCTGGTGTCCGAACCCCTCGAAAGCTCGGACTCGCAGTCGGAGTGACGACTATGTCTCCGATGACTATGACTATGACTTCTTCTTCGATGGCCACCGCGACTGTGACTGTCCCCTGAACTTTGGCTCTCCACGGAGCTGCTCCTTCGTTGGAGTCTGCTCAAGAGCTGCAAACAATACAATCTGATTTAACGATATTCAATTGCTGTACAATACAGTACGGTTGGGAGCTGAGAAGATGACAGTTGACTCTGATTGACTAATCTTCTTTAACGGGTACATACAAACGACACACGCACACTTTTTTAATTGACCAAACAAATTAGTGTAGTTTGAGGATGCGTATAGAGGTGAGGAAACGTACGAGTGGTTTCTACTCATGTTCTACTTATGTTCTTGCAAAAGCAGACCTATCGTTCTTATTCTTTTTAGTCATAATTATCATTTAAAAATCTCAATCTCAATATCGTGGAACACAATAATTGTCCCTTGACAAGAAATAACATTGTGTCAGTCATGAAGCGAATCAAACTTGATTTTTTTTTAAATTAAATCGACAATCAAATAAATCTATACTATATTTTTTTCTCAATATTTCATAAGAAATCACGTGGTATCGCTTGTTATAAATTATTTGACCAAATCTGCTATAATCAATCGATTTAATAAACGTACTGCCGGTGCCGTTCCCGCAGACCGGACGGACCGAGGACTAGACGAAGTATAAAGGCCTCGAGGTTGGCTCTGAGTCCACGGAGCGCTCCTGGTGCTCCTCGGGCTCGAGTTGTTCACCTGTCTGGTGCTCTGACTATTGCACAAAACGTTTCCGCCGACCGGGTTATTGCACGGGTTGGGGTTCACGCTGGCGGGTGTTTCCACGAACGGGCCAACCATTTCTTGGCCCTCCACCACGCGTCGTTGCGCTCTGCGACTTGGAGTCCTTTGAAAAACTGGAGGAGGATTCCGTCTGATCACCGTGTGCTTCTCCGACCCGGACGGAGGACTATACGAACGGAAACGGGAATAGGGACTCAAGGGCGGAGGTCCTGTGGCCATCAAACGGAAGAACGCTTGGTGTTCCAGACAACATTTCCAGAGGTGCCGACAGGCTCCTTTCGATGGCGTCTCGAAACCGTGAGTCCTCTCCTCGGAATTCTTCTCGCTCACTCTCAGCATGAAGTATCTACCCTGGAAGAAGGCGTGGAGGTGAGGTTTTGAGAGAGAAGTGGTAGTAATTTGGAAATATAGGTCACATGTCTTCAAGTGGTATTCGGGCATGTCGAAGTGCAAATTTAAATTCCACTCGAAACAGTTTTAGATATTTCAAGAAATTGAATTTGCAAATGCAGCAATATAGGAATGTAGGGATGTATAAATATAGAAATGTAGGAACGTAGGAACATAAAAATATAGAAATATACAAATTTGAAAATTTTGCAAATTGAGGTCCAAACACGTGGATATGTGAATCTAAAAATTGTGAAAAATTTTAAAATTGCACAAGATATGAATTTATCATTTTCCCAAGTTAAAAAGGTAGAAATATAAAAACTTCAGAATCTAAGAATTTACAAATCTAAAAATTAAAAAATTTACCAATACAAAAATTAAAAAACTTGAGTTCCTCAGAAGGGTCTAAAAATTAAAGAATTCCGAAAGAAACAAGAATGTATCTTTTACATAACTCTGCTTACCTTATAATAGATTTTATTGATTCGAGGCCAATAATAATTTCCCACTTTGGTCTTGTTGCGTAACAAAATGATCCCGCTCGGCGTCAGACCCAGAAAGTATTCCACACTGTCCTCGCCCTGTAAATTCGAGTTACATGGTTCTCAGGGTTTAAACACGTTAATTTGAAACGCAAATACTTACCAAGACAGGGTGCAAGTCGACGCCATACATTTCGAGCCATTTCACCTTATCCAGATAATTCAACTCCGCGGCGGAGGGTAATTGTCCTCTGTAAAAGAAATCATCATTATTGCAAATCACCGTGATTATTAGTCATGGATGTAAAATAATAATGGTAAACTTACACGAGAGTTTTATGAAGTTCCACTATGCGGTTCTCCAATTCCGTGGTTTGATTCGCTAGAAATCGGAACTCGGTTACGTAGCCCACAGAGTGTCTTCTTGGATCATAATCTCCGAGTTCCGCTGAAACATGGAGGGTCAAATGAAATTTAGGATTTATGTTGACAAGACATGTATCTTTAGAACTATCAATCGGGAGAATATCTCTATGTTACACATTTTATATATTACAAAATTTAGTTACTGTGTTAATGTTGAAATGTCTGGCAGATTGAAGTGTGGTTGTGGTGGCACGTGTTAGTTGATGCTTGAAAATTTGATTTCCAATTTAGAAGCAAGTATGCATTTAACACTGTAGTGTTAATTTTTACTCGATTTTCTCGGTCTAGTCAAGTTTTCCAAATTTCCTAATTTGTAAAGTTTGTAGATTTCAAAGCAAATGAAGATTTCAAGAAATTAGTAAAAGTTGCACAGTACTTTTGATTCTCGACACGAATCCTTCAAATTTCCGAACCAGCAAACTTCGTAGATTAGAAGGCAAATGAACATCACAAAGTGTTCGGTATTTCAGGAAATTAATGGAAGTTGCACAACATGTTCGATGCACTCGAGTGCAAATTTCCGAACTCGTAAACTTCGTAAATTCGAAGGCAAATAAACGACACGAAATAGAAGGACACGAAGTGCTGAGAAAATGAAGATTTCAGGAAATTAATCGAAGTTGAACGGTATTTCGATTCTCGTCGGTTCTGTCTCCGAGTTTTCTCCGCCCCCATCACGATGGCCGTCGATTCCCATAGGGTGCGCGATAGAAATGCCCTCCAGAAATCATCCTAGTCGGTTAATTGAATCACTGACTTTGATGAATATCGGCTCCGACCGTAGCGAGGGGGGCACTTTATTTTCTCGTTGGTTCTACCAGGAGAACCCGGCACTCTGTCGTCGCCGGCTTCTTGCATGCTCATTCGCTCGTGTAATTACGAGACCGCGAAACGATCGGTCGATCCGTATTATACGCGAAACGCGGACTCATAGGTCCTGCAACTTTTGCCGCGAACGTTGCGTAAAAGATCGTCTTGGAAAACTACCACGTTGCTAGATGCTTTCGAACAAGACAGGAATTCGAATCGATCGATACAATTCGACTATATTTTGAAGCATGAAAATTTATGGGTTCGAAGATTTATGAAGTTTAATACTAAACCTACCGGCATATAATGTGTACTTAATTTAAAATTAAAAATGACGGTAAAAAATAAATAAACAAACGACGAAACATAAATTAGCACACACATTGATTCTTTATCTTGAAAATCAATGTTGAATTTGAGGAATGTAATTTCACAAAATGTGTACCTTATAATAAGAAACTTATGGAGCGGTCATTTAACAGGTTTGGTAGTTTTAGTGTTAAAAATTCAGAAATTCAAAACTTTAAAATCAGTGAACAAAAAAAAGTCAAATCCTGAATCAATCGAATGACAAAATTGCCAAACATTTGAATCGAGAAATTGCACGTGCAATTAGGGAGGAAAGAACTCTCGTTAGCTCTAAATGCCGTCGATTCTTTTATCCGAACGGTTATATATCATATATATTAATCGTTTCACCGATAAACCCTGAGACGGCGAAAGGGTTAAATTTCCAGTTACGATTCCCATTATTCTCGCTCGAACGAATCGTCTTGGAGCAGTCGCGAAGAAAACGAGGGGTCCAAATTAATTCAGAAAACAAAACTGCACCCTAGAAATGAATCTTCCGGATACAAAAGAGCCTGAAGAGATAGGGAAGAAACTCGCGAAGAATAATAGTATTCACCGGGCAAGATTTCGAGCAGAAAGAATGCCTAAAGGTGTTTTCGTCGCCGTTGTAATGGCATCGTGCACGGACGTCGCGAGCTATCTTGTTTGAGATCTCCGTAAAAGCTGGACAACGCTTTCACCGTTGGAAGCTCTATTTCCATTTGCAAAATGGTCTACTTATTTCCAGAGGAACTTCAATATTTGCCCAACCCGACGGAGGGAAGCTAGCACCTTCGTAAAAATGCGACCGGATGCCTCCACCTCGTCTGATTTCCTCACGCTCGCCGTTTCCGTTTTATTTTCATCGCAAATTCTCGACAATTGTTAGATCATTTTCTGAATTTTCATATTCTTTAACTCTCAAGATTACCTAATTCTAAATTTCAATCTTTGAAATTTACAAGCTTTTACATTTTTTAATTTTTAAGTTCTTAGATCTTCAAATTAATTTATATTGTCAGATTTTCAAAGTGTCAGTCTTTAAATTTTCAGATCTTTCAAATGTTCAAAACTTCAATTTCAGAATGTTTAAATTATCATATCCTCAAATTTCTAAATTGTAAAACCACCCCATTGCAGACGTGTTACACCGTCAGTAACCACCCCTATTTATAAATTTAATATTCACAAATTTTCAAGCTAAAAAAATCCCAACTTTCAAACTTAAAAATTGCCAAATTCTCAAACTTAAAAATGACCAAATTCCCAAAATTCAAAGAGTAAATTTCTTAACTCAACAAACGCAAAACTTTGAAACAGTAAATCCTCGACACCTGATCGTCGCACGCACGGGTGCCCACGAGCTGTTCTGTGGGCACTTGATCTGCTCATCATTGTCCTATCCCACAATGCGACGGTTCAGTGATCCGCATAGAAACGCGTGTCACGAAGCGGAGGGTGGAAACCGCTCGCGATCCTCCTGGTTGCCGGCTTAATTAATATTCGTCGTTAAACTGTCCTCCCTGGGAAATTACTTTGCGACGTTGAACGGCCGCGTAATTGCGTCCGCTGTATAACGATGGACGTTTTTCTGTTTTTCTTTTTTTTTTTAATGGCGGAAAGAGGTATCGTTAATTGCTGCGCGTTGCAAGCGAAATTCCTCGCAAAACGAAAGACTTACGATTGTATCCGTTGAAAGAGTTGAGGGGACTCTTGCAAGGATTTAAAAATAGTTCGATTTTGATGTAAAATTACAATTAATTATAAAATATACTAGATTTACAGATGCTTTGTGGTTGCTTATTTTTAAATTGAAACTGAAGCTTATTTTTAAATTGAAACTGAAGCTTATTTTTAAATTGAAATTGAACAAAAATAAATAAATTAGGGATACGTAAACTACCTTATACAATGATTCATCAAAAGTTAATTTAATAAAGTGAGCAACCTAAGATCCATCATTTTGATAGATTTCTTAAATTGTTTAGAAAATAGATGAGAAGTAAATGAAGATATATTATAGCACAAAAATAACCATAACCAAAAACCACCGTAACCTAACCTGACTTCTAACCTAACTTCATCGCCGTCTTTAATACAGTTGTCGCGATATCATTCATTTCTTGAAAGTAAGAAATATTAAATATCTTCGAAAAGGAGTGTCGATTTAAAAATTGCTTTCGCAAATTTTGCAGATTGCTTGATCAAAACGGTCGAACGCGGAGTGGAATTATGTTGTTTAAGATGTCGGCGATCCATCGTCGGTGATCTCATCCGCGGCGGACCGCACGCGTATTCAGAGAGGTTTATCTCCATTTCGCGGAGCAAAACGCGTGCCGTGTATCCTCTCCTCGTGTCTCTTTTTCTCTCTGTCTTTCGCCGGTTTTGTCCGTCTCTGTTTCCGTTGTCAACAGGCACCGGGACTGAACGAGAAGAAAGGGCATTCATTTCGTCCCTTTTCACGGCGATGAGACGCAAACACGACCGTATCTCTCCTCTCTTTCTCCCGCCATTCCACCCTTTCTCTATTTGCATGACTTTGAATCTCGCAGCAGATAACTAACGCGTGGACCTGTAGCCTCCTTCTGCCAGCTCGCGTCTTTGCCTTCGTCAAACGGCTACGCGATCCGCTTCCACGGATTTTCAACCCTTGACGCTACGATCGAAATGGTGTTTTTATCTCGGTCGATCCGAGTTTCTATTAAAATATTATTACTCTTGTGAGACTTCTTGGCTACAATTTATACGTCGGAGGGAACTGATTGTGCAACGTTTCATTTTTTCAATTCAAGTGCATTTAAATACTCTTACGTTCAAAGTTTTAGTTAGGAACCTGTACAATCGAATTAAAATATTACACGAGTTCTATAAAATTTATTCTATTATTCCACTGTAATAAGTTGGGGTGATTTTTACTTTGTCCAAAGGACACTCTTCGAACTTGCAAATTATAAATTAACTGACTACCATTTTTACGTTCGAGCAATTTACATAGCGATAAGGTAAAAACTATATAACAATTTTAACTTTGCATTAAAGTTAGGCTAAGTGGGTCAAAAGCAGTTTCCAACATGTATTTGAATTTTCATTCAATAAATTTGTCCAATCAATTTAAAATGAAGTGAAACATTCCACAAAAGTTTTATTTAAAAAATGAACAAAATCACTCGTCACTACCTCGTCATATTTCTCCATTTACAATACTTCTGAATGTTAATCTAATATAAAAATTTGATCAAGTAAATGAAAAGGTAGAAGAAGATTTAATAAAACTTTTAATTATAAGTATGATTATAAAGTGCACATCTGAAGAACAGCTTCCTAATGATGATGTCCTTTGATTCAGTAAGACAAAATGGCGGTCGTTAATCTTTATCCCAACTTCCCGGAAGCGGGAATTTCGATTCCCCGCACGGCAGCAGAAACGAATAAATAGTTCTAAAAGGATTGGTTACTTGTCTCGTCGAAGGTATTTCGAAATAACTGTCTGCAAGGGGAGAAAAGTTGAAAGTACTTTGCGAAAGTTTAACGCGTCACGTAGACGTCTCTTTTCGCCGGTGAAATTGAAATCACATGGCGTTCAAAGGTACCGCGAATCTTTTTAAATCGCTTTTCTCGTACCTTTCCCGGAAACTTTGACTTTACTGCCGGAACAAGGGATTTTAGAACTCTTCCCTCACGGAATAAACCTTGCTCTCTTCCTTCCTCTCTCTTTGTAACATTCTTTCCTCTCTTTGCAACATTCTTCCTTTGCTTCCTACTTCTCAAATATTTTCCCCGTTATTTAACCTCCGAGCAGCGGACGATAATATCGTGTTAAAAAGTTATTGAAAGACGACGTAACAATAGATTGTTGCCGAGTACACAAGGCTCTTCTAATTAGCGGCTCATGAATTCTTGCCAACGCTGCGTTGACTTTTGGTTCATCAAATGCTACAACTACAAACACAAACACAGACAGAAATCTACTTGCCGGTAGTCGGACAACCGTTTACTCCGAAATTTCTAAGCAAACACATACTTTCCTCCGGTGGCGCTCTCAGCGTTGGGCGAACAACCACGAGGTTCGATCTCAAATTTGTTCACGTGTCCCGTAAATTCTTGAGTAAAAGAAAAACTCGAGATAACCGGAAAATATAAAAAATGTGCGAATAACAAGAAACGTTTTCAAAGAACACAAGAAATTATCAAAATAAAAAACGACTTCGAAAATGACACGAAATAGTTTCCAAACGCGAAAGTAAACTAATCACTATACGTTCAATGATTAAGTTTATACGATCAGCCAGCAACGGACAAGTATCCAATAATTAATGACAGTTTATCATCGATAATCACCGGAGAACCAGTTTTACTGGATCCCGCGTAACGTTTTCGAGCGTTATACAAGCGTAGTCCTACCTGTTTTTCGCATAACACCCCGAAGCACGAACCAGAACAACTTCTTTTGCATGTAGGCGTTCAAGGACACTCGTGGTAAGAATCGTACCGGAAGATGAGGAGTCGTTGGCAGCGAAACAAAAGGAGTTACGGCTCATTTTCAGAATTATACTGGCACCTTTAATGAGGGACTCGCAGGCTATTTCACCTTTGCGTTCGTAATTGTCTTTCCGAGATCGCTCGTGATTCTTATCGTTGCTTTTCTTTCGTGGACTGGGTCGATTATCTGTGCCCTATCTTTATAATTTCTTGAAATGACTATATCTTGTAGGATGATTCGAACTTCCAACTTTGATGTGTAAGTGCTAATTTTCTTATATTTTTATATAATCGAGGAGTGATGCACGGTGGGCAAGTTCAAGTTCAACTGAGAGTTCACGGGCATCGTGTTCATAACATGAGTTATGCAACAGAGTAAATTTGTAAATTAGTAAAGTAAATTAGACTAAATTTATTGAGTATTAAAAATTCCTCAACTCCCCCAAAATAGTGCAAGAGGTTAAAGTATCTTTTCATAAAATATTTCTATTATTTTACTTCACCTCATCCTACAATGTCGAACAATTTACATTTTATCGACTAGTTAGTGCAGTATTTATGCCCTCGAGTGCTCCTCAACCACGCCCTCGCGCACGTCAGTTACCCATCACTGCGTTAGTCACCGCAACGGTACATATATCGCGAACCCATGTTTCTTCCTCGTTCGACTTTCTTTGACCTTCGGAAGATTAATATCCACGGATTTAATTAAAGTCACCAATTTTAATCATAACGTTCATTAGAGCAGGTAATAACGTTCGTGTTCGGGCGGTTGTCGGAAGCATCGTTGCGAAAAGAAATCGAGCGAGCATTAACCATCTGATTGATTGCCCTCGCCACGTACGCTTCCGCCATGTCTCGCGTGATGCGTTTCTTTTCGAAATTATATATTTGCTGCTCGGCGAACATGTTTCTACTTTGTTCCGCGAAAAACAAGCAAGCTTTTAATAGAGCAAGTACTAATTCAAGGTAATTGAACGCTAAACCCTGGCGGAACAATTACTTAGCTCACAAGCATCGACACGAGTAATTACTTTGTATATAAATTCTATATTGCTACAATGTTGGTATTTTTAAACCACTATGATTCTTTGCAATTATATATTATGAATTATGTATAATTGCTTTCTTACTATTTTATTGTTAAATGCTGTTGGAAAACATTTGTTGGTAAATACATATATTTGTACCATCATATAAACGATTGGTAAAATCGGTAAGCACATTAACCCTTTGCGTTCGAGAGGCGCCATTCGATTTAATAGAATAATTTAAAAGAAGCATTATTTAATTAATTCTATAATAGTGCTTGTGTGATGTATAAACATAGTGAAATAGACAATAGTGGAAATTATTAGTAGAGAAATAATAACTTCAAAAGAAGTCATTTAACATTTTAATTAATATTTTAAAGTTGCTGTTTGCAAACAGTAAAATTATCTTCGAATGCAAAGGGTTAATTAATCTAAAAGAAAAATAGTTAAAATAGACTTACATTGAACAACATAGGCGCCGAGTTCCGCGGCCAAATCGAACGACACCGGCAGTCTTCCTTGAAGAATGTCCTGTTTGACTTGCAGGAAGAACTGGTACCTGCGAAACCGAAGAAACATCATTTTTATCGAACGATGGAACATACGGTCCCTCTTTGATCGTGCTACGATATATTTTGCCGGTACGGTTAATGACGTGTGACACGTACGTTATGCAAGAAAAGCAAAAGAAGTCGAGGGAAGAAACCGAAGAAGACGAGGTAGAAAAAGAAGAGTAGGAAAGAAAAAAGGAGAATGTTACGACGGGGTCAGCCTCTGTGGCTTGTCTCGCCACGAACTTCGGTTTTACCATCGTTGCCCTCGCGGTTTCTCCTCTTGTAAAGTCATCGTTAAAGGATTTCTCAATTTGCCTTTTTTTCTCTTCTTTCACGCTTTACCATTCGTTGCAGCCTTTCTCTCTCCTTGATGTCACTTTCCGTCTCTTTTTCGCTTTCCGCGTAGACGCGTTCCATACTCGGCCAAGGTACGCGTACCTTGTCCTTTGCACGCAGATTTCTTTTTGCTAGCTTGCCTCCTTTCTTCCCTTTTTCCTCATTTTCTACCTGCCAATCTCTCCCGCCGCTTCTTTCTTCGCTCATCCAACAGACTCGTTTTCATTTTTCCAACCGAACCAGATATTTCTCCTCCGTTCCACGCCGTGCTTATCAACGGAACCGTTCCTTCGATTTTTCTAGTAAATCGCTGCTGGAACCCTTGAAATTTCACGACTTTTCGATCACAGCAAAATTGGATTTTTTCCCTGGGTTCTGTTTTAGGGCACCGATATTAAATTTTCCACTTTTCTACTCGGTGCTTAGAAAGTTTTTATTTCTTCAGAAACCTTCGAATTCGTAAGTAGAGACATGTAGACAGGTATGAATTTTTGTATGAATTTTTTTTTTATTTTTAGAAGTTCTTTTTACAAATTTTCATTTTTTGGTTTGATGTGATGTTTGTATAGGATATGTGCAAATTTATCAAATACATTTTTCATGTTTATTGATGAAATTTTTTAATCTGGTAATTTAGCAAATTCATGAAAAACAAATCTTTTAATGTAGTCACGTAGGAATTTGGTAAAAATATTAAATCTTTTAATTCAGCCATGTAGAAATTTGACAAATATTTAAATCTTTTAGTTTGGTGATTTAGAAATTGTACAAAGATTCATGTAGTTAAAAGATTAAAAAATTTTAATTAAATGAGATTCTGTCACTGACCAACTACAGAATCGTAACCCGCGGCTCCGTAAATTCAAGAGACGGTTCAGCAAACGATAATTTTATCAGTAATATACGTAGTTAATAAAATGCAAGCTTTTGGAGAGTCTCCACTACTTCTTATTCACGGGACCATTTCTGCTTCCATTTCATTTTCTCGATACACGCGATCCCCAAACGCAGTTTATTAACGCATGAATAATTCCTTAACCGACTGTGAATCCTGCACAGCCAGAGGGAATTCCAGAGAGACTTTTCCCTCTTTCGAATTCTGTTTCTTCTCCCGACGCGTCTTATCTCTTTTTTTCCCTCTTCTCAGTTTGCTCGATGCAAGGATTATCCGCGAAATTCCTTTTAGGGTAATTCCATAAGATTTACTGTCGCTCCGCCATTTTTCTCGTCCTCGTTTGTCCTAGCGTACTCGCCATGAAATGAGATTCAAGGAAACAAGTTTACTTTCCTCCTGTCTAGCTGGTGTATATGACTGTTGTAAACAATTGCTCCTTCACTTTGAAAATATGCGAATGCTTCAAGAAACCATATACTTCCAAATTTCACTTTTGTATGAGGACTCGTAGCTGATGACGTACCATTTTTGTTTTGTATGTTTGTAATAATTGTGATTTTTATGCTAAAGAATCTTTGGTATAGTTCAGTTTCTTTACAGTTATACTGTTTTACTTACAATAGCAATTTCTATTTAGAGTAATATATGTAAATATTAATCAGATAGATTTATTAAAAACTTTTACATACTCTTAATTTGATATACATCAAGTTTCATGATTTTAGACTTATTTCTTCAAGAATTTACATTGCTAATAAGACAATTTAACAAAGATAATTACAAATGACATTTTCTATCGAATTATTTTGAACCACGCTTAAGTTTGTTCGTAGCCTAACCTAACTTTGAGATTAAGATATTTGGTAATTTATCATGTGTGTTTACCCTGATTAGACTGTATACAAACACCCTGTATAAAAGCACATCTACATTCTCAGCACCTACAATTCTAACAGAAGAATCTACTAACTGTACTAATTTGTAATTAATTTAAAGAAATGTCGGGTTACTTGAGGAAATGAGTCCCAAAACTTTCGAACATTTGAACCGATTCGAAACGATGATTAACCCACCTTCCTTTCTCTCTCGACGACCTTATTCTTCCTCTTTTTTGCGAAGTGTCCACGTTACGGGATCAGCAAACTACCACGCTTATTAACCTGCCGCTGACACGGAGGCCGACCATAAATCTGCACGGGTTATTAAGAAATTGTCAATTCGTTTTCCTGCCCTCTTTCTCATTTTTCAACCCCGTTGGATGAAGACGTCTTCCACGTTTCGTTTCCTTTCGCCGCCTTTCTTGTCCCGCCTTCTTCCTTCTTTTTTTCCCTTCGGCCTCTCCTTCAGCCGAGACTGATCCCGCTTCCATTTACATCGCGTTTCCAGCATTCCCGGTTGGCCGCGTTTTTTTGCATTTCCGCGTAAACTATGCAAAGTAAATACCGGTCGCACGCGATCCCGAAGCAGTTACGATCCCCGAAGCGTTCCGAGACGGTTAACAAAGTTTTTTCTTAGCGGTTATATTCCTCCTTTTGTACATTTTTCTTTCGCTATGCACTCTTCCTTTCTTCCACTCTCGTTCTCGGTCCCCTTTGTCTCGCAACCCCCCGCCACCCGACGCGGATCTGCCTTCAGTTTATTCCTAGTCCTTTCAACCATTCAGATTTTCATTCAGCAATTATTTATCCGTCCGGATAATTATCTTGCCTTTTCCGGCGAATTTCCAGACGGTACTCTCGTTTAATTACGCCGGTCGTTCGCGGAAACAAATTAAATTAAAAAAATGTTAGGAAACATTTTATTAGGAGAAAAATAACGTCGAGGTTTTTCTGCCGGGGGGATATTTCTCCTTCTTTTCTCAACGGTTCATCGCCTCTTCCTTCTCGATTTTCAGCCTCGTTCCAGCGGCTTGCTCGCGCGTGCAAGCGACGCTTGCCGAAGCGGCGATAAAGCGGCAAGCGGATAAAACGCACGCACGGACGATTTCGACGCATTCGGAATCCTCAAGCGTTACCGGACGACTATGGAATTCCTTGGAATTCGCCATAGAGAAAGAATCGTGACGTCGAGCGGAAATCGTTCGCATTATCGAGCAACGCGTTAAATTTCGCGATTAACAACGGTTCGGTTCTTTGCAACCATTTTTACGTCGATTATGCTATTTCTGGATATGGAATAGCCAGATGGAGGGCAAAAAGCTCGAACTGCAAATTTAACATCGAACCCGTGCAAATTTAGGAAGATTTCTAATTGTCAAGTTTAGAATATATAGGGTCTCACTTTGTGGAATGAAGATAAAATATATTCTAATTAGAGTTGTTATTTTTATTTTGCATTATAATAAATTGCATCTATCGAGTATATTTTATAGTCTTTTTTAATATCTGAAAATTTCGACTTTAAACAATTTAGAAGTAATACAAGAGTATCACTTTCAAGTGATTAGATCACAAAAGTCCCTACATCCCTTACATCCTCAAATTACTTGATCTGCAAATCCCTAGATCCTCCAGCTGCATGACTTCCACAACTCTAGATCCTCAAATTTCGTTGACCTTCAAATCCCTAAATTCCCAAATTGTCAAACCCTCAAACTCCCAAAATTCTACATCCATGATTCCCCAAAGTCCCAAACTTGACTAAATTCCTACGTCTCCAATTTCCAAGTCAACTCCCTAAACTCCTACATCCCAAATTTAAAACCTTGATAAATCACAGTTGTAACTACTGTATTAAGACTTACTAACTCAGAATAACTAACCTAGAACTAACCTAAAAGTAATTAAAACCCACGTGAAGAAAGTGTGAAACTGCAAAGATGCTCCTAAACTAATCCATCTCCAACCGTTCCTAATCCCTAAAAATCGACGAGTCTTTTTTCCGCCCGAATAGTTTTCCCTAGGGAAGCCAGATTTGCTGTTGACTGTACACACACGTACACAGAGACGAAGCACGCGTGTAGTCAGGCAAAAGCGAACAGCGTCGGCGACAGAGTCTTATCCTTTCCTGTCCTCCGTCGCCTTCGCTCGAAGCACGGATTTTATGTCTCGTGGTCCAGTCGTACTGTCTGCCTCTCGTATCCTGTTATATCCTGCTGTGGAACAGCCGGGGATTTCTGTCGAGTTAAGGACCCTTCACACCGACGTGCGGATTTGCCGATCCTGTTCGCCAACAGGGGATCTCCGAATTTCAAACGCTTTTTAATCTCCGACGTCTGTTTGTCGTTAGGGTGAAACGTATCTGTTGCGGGAATCTGTGATCGATTAGGATTCTCGGGATTTTTAGAGTAATGGGGATTGAAAGGTCAGAGGTACCGGCGAACACGTGTTGTCGAGATCATTGCACGGAATACAAATGATGGCATTAAGAGGTTAGATTAGGGATATATGTTGCAAACTTATGCATATCTTTTTTTTAGCAAGTTACATGGTTTTTCCATTTAGGAGTTCTGGGTCTTTTTATTGCTTTGGGTCTTCAAGTTTGTGGATTTTAAATTGCAAAATTTCACATTTTTAATTTCTGACATTTAGAAAGTTATGAAGTCTGGACTTTGAAGTTGAAAATCAACACTGAAATCGAGTAGTGACGTAGTGGAATAATAGTGAATAATAAAGAGTAATAGAACAGCGGAGGTATCATAGAAAATTAATTAATAATACAACAGTAGTATATCAAAACAATAAAATAGAAAAATGATATAATAGTAAAACAGTAAAAAGACAAAAACAGTATCAAAGAAGTAAGTAGAAAGAAGAAAGTATCAAAGTAGTAAGA